CTCTGTATCATTCAGTTCTGGCTTGATTGACAGGAGATATTCAAAATTTCAATAATAAGTGCATTGAGGTTAAGTTAAAAAGACCTAAGATTAATTTTAGTCAGCTAAATCAAACATAATTGCAAAAAATTTGTTAAATCTCTTATTATAGAAATACTTGGATTACTTTCCTAGAAAATTAGTTGTAATACTTAAATTTCTATAAGATTCAGACAGTATATATACTATATATAAGTATAAAGTATAAAATACATATAAAGTATATATACTCCTTTATATATAAATATGAGATATTTGAATTTGAAGCTCAAAGTCTGAATTTGAATTTCAAAGTTCTATTATGGAGATCACTTAAGAAATGAGGCATGTAGTATTAAGTGTAGTTTAAGTCCATGAATATGTTAGAATCTGTGACTAAGAAAAATCACAGCATTCAGGTGAAGGTAAATAACATATTTGCACTCTATTATGTTGAAATGCCCTAATAAAGCGCTGGTGGCTCATACCTGTAATCCTAGCTACTCAGGAGGCTGAGATCTGAGGATCGCCGTTCGAAGACAGCCCGGGCAGGAAAGTCTGTGAAACACTTATTTCCAATAAACCGCCACAAAACCGGAAGTGGTGCTGTAGCTCAAGTGGTAGAGCGCTAGCCTTGAGTTGAAGATCTGAGGGACAGTGCCCAGGCCTAGAGTTCAAGATCCATGAGCGACCAAAACAAAAACAAACAAAAACAAAAAAAACCCCTAATAACCAGTTGATATGACCTTAAATTTGGGAATTTCACAAATGAATTTATGTCCATTAAAAGAAAACATTTAAGGTTAGAATCAATGATGTCTTATATAATCTGAAAAGAATCTCTTATTTGAAAAGCACAAAGACAAAAAAAAATGGTAGTGGATATAACAATAGAACATGACTAGATAATCTCAATATGGAAATTAAGTGAAGTCAGCCCAGGCACAGCTCAGGGTCTCTGTAGTTAAATGATGCTGACATTCAGAACATAGGCTGAGACAGAAAAATGGTTTCAGTGGTAATGGAAATCATGACTGTAATATTCCAAGCAACTTGAGGAGGGAGGCTAAGCAGGATTCAGTCTTTTGTCAGTCTCAGACAGTTCTCAAATGCTGTCTTCTTCCAGGACTTCATCGTTAGCATGCTAGAATTGGCAGGGTGTTGGTAGCTCATGCTTGTAATCCTAGCTACTTAGGAGGTTGGGATCTGATGATCATGTTTGAAGCCAGCTGGGCAAGAAAATCTATGAGACTATTATCTCCAAATAAACAACAACAACACAAACCAAAACCTGAAAATGGAGCTGTGGCTCAAGTGGTAGAGTGCTAGCTTTGAGTAACAAAGCTTAGGCACAAAGCCAAAGCCTTGAGTGTAACCCCCAGGCATAAAAAGAATTTCAGAATTACTCATTTAATTCTACCTCTTGGTGTCTCAACACTAACTGTATGTGATCTCAATTCCAAATGAATGATCTGCATTCTTTCAAAGTACTCTGATGTTTTCTGTTTTATATGAAGTCTATATCATCTGTCTTAATAGGAAGGTCCATAGCAATAGCATTTTTTATATACTTTATGTTAGGCTTGCAACTGTGCTTTGCTATATTAGTCAATACTAGATCATTATTAGCTTTATTAGTAATGCAGTCTATAAACCAAAGTTTAAATCTGAGTGAATATAAAAGGTGAGGATGAAAAATGGGTCTCTTTACCCACATACCTAAAAGTCAGTATCACAATCAAAGCTTCTCATGCAAGTCTCTTCAAAGCAGTTCATAGTAAACTTCAATGAACCATTCAGATGAGCAGGTTAGAGGTAAAATAAAGACTAAGAATCAAGTAAAATTCTGCTATGGGGGTATGTATATACCCATATTGTTAAGTTTTCTTTTCAGGCTCTAATATAAATGACAGAATTGCTTTTTACCTCAAATTTCCTGAGACAGAATTACAATTTATGAGAATCAATTTGATTTTTAAACATTGAAATAATGGGAAAATTCCTATCTATCTATCTACAAAAAGATTAAAGTTAGAATGACTGACAAGGAAACAAAATGGATGAATAAGATAAAGGCCTAAAAGTGTGCACTTTTCCTCACAAATATTCAATAGGTGGATATTCTCTATTCTAAAATCAAGTGGTGGGAGGAGAACACAGACACAATAGAAATTGGTTTTCTCATTGATAAGAGGCTGAAGAGATCTTTTATAAAGGATTCCTCTGATCTGTGCTAGGGGGAAAATAAAGAACCAGTCCTCAATATTCCTAGCAGGAAATGTACTGTGTGGGAAGCACTTACGACAGGCAAGAAGAAACAAGAGGTCTTTAAAAAATGTTTATGCTTTTTCATTGTTTATTGAAATACAACATTTGCAGTGGTAGTCTGGCTTTTCTGGTTTCCAGACTGGATTTGTGGAGGACCTTCCGGTTGTAGGAACCCTTGCGTGGTTACAGAAGGTCTGCAATCTTAATGCTGACACTAATGCAATTCCTTCTTATTTTCTTCGGTGTGTTCACAGAAGACACCAAATGCCAAGGGCTCTAAAGAACTGAGAACATATGAGAAAGAATAAACAAGGAAATACAGGAAGCAAGGGCACAGGCCCAGGGCACAAAAGGGAGGCTAGGCTTTTGCTAAAGAAACCATACAAGAACTTGACATTGTAAAAACCTGAATAGAAAGGTCTTCAGGTCTCACTTTGTCTAGTTAAGTAGTACATGATTGTTACTTTATGTATTCTGAGACAACCAACAGCAAAAGGGAGCCCCTGAATTTCCTTGACAAACACTATGTGACGTAGTAGTAGCTCTGTCTAGAGCCTATGACCCATTCTGCTGGGTGCAGTGGTTTTATTAGAAGACAAATTTTACTGGCTCTTTAGCTGAAGATCCCAGGATCTGAGACTGTTCTTAGGTGTTCATCCTGGTGATTATGTGATCAGAGGAAAGAGATTGGTCTTTATCCAAATTTACATTGCATGTTTACAATAATGTTATTGATGCCCTTGACAAAGTTGCCTGAGAAAACAAGCTTTACTAGTTGATAATTAGCTCTCTTTTCTCTAGGGCAACTACCAAATTAGCATAAAAATGCACTGAAAATGTCTACAGAAGACTTGGAGTTATTTACTCTGGCTCACAAAGCTTAGTTATGTTTGGATGTTTTTGGGATATTTTCCTCAAAAGTTATTTGAAACCTAACATTTAATCTAAGATATATTTTAAAATATTGCTATATTTTTCATGATATTTATTTAATAATAAGAATGCTGGAAACTGAGCATGAACATTTGGCTTACTATTTTCAGCTTACAACTAGTCTAAATCTTTATTTTATGAACAAAAAGAAGTCACATCATTCATCATGCTGCTTTTGCAGTGATTATGTATGTTGACAGTACTTTTCTCCATGTAAGTATGATATGTAAATAAGGTCATTAATGTAATACATTTCTATTTGCAGGCATACAAACTAAAGGCTCTTACTAATGTCACAGAGCCCACAGGTATATTCTATAAAATTCATTATTTTTTTACTCTTACTTGATATAAATATTTTTGCAACCTGTATAGACAAGGTTTTCCACATATTTATTTAATATGTTTTAAATTGATCTCTTATCTTTTACACCTGACAATATGAAGAAAATATAGCACTAATGCATAAAAGCATTTCCTAGATAATTTGGCTATTTCCTGAAATGTGGCAATAGTAATTAAAATACTTTGGGAAATGTCTCAGGCTAAACGGCCTTATGAATATCCAATAATGGAAGAGCATTTAATGTTTCTAATAACCTCAAAGCACTGAGTACTTGAATAACTACAGACCACAAGAAAATGAAAGAGGAAGTAGAGTGTCAAACCATTGGTGTGAAGGGGAGTTTATTTGATGGTAAATGGCAGAATTCAGATACAGGTGAGCTAAACAGTCACACAAGCTGTACGAATTCTTTTTTTTATATCATTCACTATTAGTTGTCATTCAGTAAAGCTAGATCATCTTTGGACTTGATAGCAACATACTTACATATAGTTACATATACAGAACTCTTGACATGGGAATAAAAATATTATTTTCCACTTTTAAAAAAATAAATTATTCCAAAATTTCATTGTATTGTATTGTATTTATTAGATATAAACTATATGCATATAAAAAATGTTACCCAAATGCACCAATGGATCATACAAACATTATTATTTCTATTTTCCATTGCTAGGACTTTATAATATTTTACAACTAATACTATGAAGATTTAGCTATATTACTTAGTACTATACTGGGTAAGTAATAAAGCCCGATATGGAATGTGTTACAATATTCCTTCCATGGAAATATACTTCTTTTTTAAAATGCATAAATATTTTTTCTTATCCTTAAGTAGTTACACAAAGGGGTTACAAATCAACATGCCAGTCATAATGTATCTTGATATTGAATATCACTCCTTTCATCATTCTCCTCTCTCACCCCTCAAATTGGAAATAAAATTATTTAGTTCAGTGCTTGGGTTTCCTTCCTTGTGTACATTTGATCGACTCTGGTAATCTGAGGAAATTTGCTATCGAAGTACAATTTTGAAATTCACCTACATATCCAATTTTCCTAACTAATCATTTTGCATGGGAAGCCAGTCAACATCAGTGAGGTGCAGTAATCTGAGAAACCACAGATTCTGACAAGACTGAACACTAGCCCTGCCCTCCTGTAAAAGTCAGCCAAAGACATTTTATCCAGAAGATCACAGCTTAGTCTCAGGGGACAATCACAAAGATTATCTACCTATCAATCAACCCATCTCTCTATCTATTTTAGCATTTTAAAAATATATTAATTCAAATGTGTTTTCACTTTTTTTTTTCTAAAACTATACACAACAGCACACTGTAAACCCCCTTTCCTGATATGCTTCAATCAAATGAAAAAATATAATGGAAAGCAACAGGAAGCCCATTTTCAAGGAAGTTGTGCTTACCTTCATAAGTCCCACTTTCTAGGAGAGCACCACTTTTCTCCAATTCCATAAAATCTTCAACTGTGATGAAAATGTAGTCCACTCCAGGGACCTCGCCCTCCTTATGTGGCCTTGTGGTGCCTGGAAAAGGAGAATTTGAAACAAAAGAAAAGACTCTAAGTGATTTGTTGCTGAACTTTAGAAATACCACCATACTTCTGAATATTCAATAACACTTGTTTGGACACCCTGTGAGTTTGACAAATTGCATTTGTCCTTCTGTTTGTTTGGCAACAGAAAATAACAGAGGGTAAAGATGAAAGTAAACATACAAAAAATTTTTTTTCAAGCTTATACAGAGTTCACTGCCATGGAATGTGTAGATTTTTCAGGGAGAACTGCAGACTATTGTACCATATGAAGAGGTGGATTGAACAGTGGGCCAGGAGTCTGCAAGCTCAGGCATTTACATATTTCACACTGATGAATGGACCTCTATTGTTTTACAGACTGCTGTGCTATGACATAAAATACAATGGAAAGTAGAAATCTGAGCAAAAGGTCAAGTTATCTTTATATGTTCATAAAGTGCTTTCTTGTGGGCGGATAAGCTGTTGATTTTTATTTATTAATTTTGCACCAAAATTAATTTGCATTGAATTTAGAGTCACAAAATCTTCAGGTAAGTTCACTTGGAACTGGGAAATAATTAAAATGGCATTAGTAAGATAAGATTGGTAATACAGTATCTAATTTCAGAAATTGAAATATTCTTTACTCCATTGTACAGGTTTTTCAATACTTCCCCTCCATGGCCTTCATTTCTTCTTTGTCATAGGCTCTAATTGTGATGGAATGTATGGAGACAGTCTCTCAGAGGTTACAACATGGCCCAGGCGTCCTGCTTCTTTGATCCCAAATAGAAAAACTGAAGCTACTGAGGGCAAAGCTGACAAGACCACCTGGTTCACAGCCACTGACCTCATCCAATCCTCCTGGGACACACAGCTTCTCTCCTGAGGTCTAGCTTACATTGTGAGAGCAGAAACAAATGTTTGCAAGGTTAACTATGCCCTAAGCTTTTTCCTCTTTCTATGTCATTTCCACAGGGCATATTGCATGGTCAGATTGGAATTTACATGATGCTTACATGCAAATAAGAATATTAAAATATACAGAGAGGCCAGGCACTGGTGGCTCATTCCTGTAAGCCTAGCTACTCAGAAAGCAGGTTCAAAGCCAGCCCAAGCAGGAAAGTCCATAAGCTTCTTATCTTCAATTAGACACCAGAAAACTGGAAGTGGAGCTGTGGCTCAAAGGGGTAGAGTACTAGCCTTGAGCAAAAGAGCTCAGGGACAGCACCCAGGCCCTGACTTCAAGCCCCATGGATGACAAATAAAATAAAATAAAATAAAATAAAAATACAGAGAGCGAGAGCGAGAGAGCGAGAGAGAAAGAGAACAGAGAAAATGATATCATTGTAGATACTAGTTTTTTCAATCACCCAGATTGTGTATATATTTATATAACAATAAATATTTAGAATTCTTAGATGCACGTTTACTTTTCTTTTGGTAGTACTGGGTCTTGAACTCAGGGTATTAGAGTCCTACTTTTGGCCTCACTGTCCTTGGACCCTGAGCCTCCTGTCTATGCCTCCTTCAGAGCTGAGAATTCAAGATCTGACATTGTTAACTCTTTGAATTTGAAATCTTCATCAACTAAATCATCAAAGTAGCTAGGTAATTCCATTATCTTTTGATGTATTAGGATGAAATTCAAACTGCAAATGAAAAGCACAAATGAATGTCAGATTGCACAATGTGCTAAAGAATTGATTTGGCATAGAAAATAAATAACTATTGATATTGGTTTTTAAAGATTTGAAAGCCCCCTTCTTTGGGGGGGTTACAAAACAGTATTTTTTCAATTGTCATGCTTAATGACTTTCCTTGAAATCTGTTATTTCATTTGGGTTAACTAAGCATTTAAGCATTTTCTGTGGTATTTCCTACTGCTTTTATGTTACAAAATATAAACCTCCTACACCTAACGCACATAATGTTGTCAAATTAATGTTGTTATGAGAACTTTAGCTTTCAATAGCTTGACTTTTATGTGCTTAACTCTTGTGAATTAAAAGGGCATTGATATGGTTTTTGGCAATCAATTTGTTTTTCTGTTTATTTTTAACACATTCTAATCATGAAGGGAAATCACAAAACAAAGATTCCACTTTCCATTCTAATTTATCTACATGTTCCAGAAGTTCCATGCTTTGATTAATTAACTGCTTCTGATGCAGCAGGCCATGCATTCTTAGGATAAAGCAAGCACAGGATGGCATGCTTGAGGATGATTTGCAAGGCTATTGACTTATTTGAAGTAATTTGCCTATTTAAAATGATTGCAAAAGTACTTGTGTTTGGGCTCTTTTGGTTTGTTGAGTGTTTTCCCATCTCTATCCTGTACTCCTGGCCTTTGTGATTTCTTGCTTCTGTGATGTATCCATGTCATCTGTCTCCCTTTTCCTCACTATGGAGTGGAGAAGTTCTTCTCCTCAACTCTACTACTCAATGCAGAGGCTGCAATCTGCATCTTCATATGAATCCCTTGCTCTCTTCTATTTCTTTTCTTTTTTTCTATAATCTCCAACTCCTCTATCTCTCCTTTACTCTTTCCTCTTCCCTAACTCTGGTAGAAAATAAAATTGTACAAAATTTCAGTCCTATTGCTGCAAGACATACAGTACATATTTGTCCTTTTCAAGATTCTATGTGACTATCATTTTTCTTTTTTTTTTTTAATTGTGAAAATACCGTACAGAGGGGTTACAATTACACGGGCAAGGTAATGAGTACATTTCTGATCAAGCATTATTGCCTCCTCCTTTGTTTCCCCTTTCCATCCCTTCCCATCTCCCCCTTTAGCCTTCCCCTGCACCAAATTTGTAGAGTTTGTTTTTCGACATAATGTCTTGTACATCTCATTGTTACAATGGGTCCACCTGAATCCCTATTTAAACAATTTGTTTTTTCCCTTCCCCTCCCCAAATTGTACCAACATCAAATACAGTGAAAACAGGGGTTATACCGAAGGGGAGGGACATACAAAGCAACAAAAAAAATTAGCATTATTTATCATAGCTAAGATATGGAACCAACCCAGATGCCCCTCAGTAGATGAATAGATCAAGAAAATGTGGTATGTATACACAATGGAATTCTATGCCTCCATCAGAAAGAATGGCATTGCTCCATTTGTTAGGAAATGGAAAGACTTGAAAAAAAATATATTAAGTGAAGTAAGCCAGGCCCAAAGAAACATAGGTCCCATGGCTTCCCTTATTTGCAATAACTGGTATACATCTGAGACAAGCAGAAAAGGTCAGATAAGTTGATGTTAGGCGAAATGAATCCATTTTCCCATCACTTCCTCCTTCTTTCCTTCCCTCATTCTTCCAGTAGAACACACATGAGTAGATGGCAACCTAGGATTTACATTTGTGCTACTATGTAAATGAATCTTGTAGTACACTGACGGCTTTTCTTTCTTGTTGATTACTCCACATTTTTCATATCTAATTTTCCATTATGAACCATTCATTCAACAAATGAACACTCTCCTTGTTAGGTAAATCTCCTCTTGTAATATACAAATATATTAGTATTTCAGCAAATACATCTCACTAACAAAATTGCTGAAGGCTTCCATCCTGCCCCAGTCTGGGCTCACATCCTCATAGCTGCCACCAGCCTGAAGATTCCCTTCCCCCCTGCTGGGTGCTGTATGTAGCTCTTCTTTCCCAGATCCCATGCCTATTTTTGTGGTCTCCACCCTCATATTGGCAAAGCACATCTGTCAGAAGCTTCCTGTCATAGGTAGCATGGAAACGACGTTGTTGTGAGATTTTGCATGCCTAAAAATGTCTTTATTCCACCCTCACAGGTGGCAAATCTGACAGCATTTCGGGGAAATATCGTGATGAAAACCTATTTCTCCTTCTTGATCCTCTGTTAGTTTTGTCACCATTCTTCCAGTCATGCTGGCTGGAGACTTTCCATCTCCCAGCTCCTATTCCAAGTCACTGTGGAATTCTGCAACTCACAATGTCCCCTTTCCATTCTCCCCCCCTCTCTTTTTTTTTCTCTCTCTCTCCTTTCTTTTCTCTCTCCTTTTTTCTTTCTGCTTTCTGATACAGGTGCTTCCTTCCTGGACCAGGTGGTGGCCTTATTCTTGGTGTGCTGGCCTCCTACCCTTAGTTATCATGAAATTTTCACACTAGCCCTGAAACAGGATGTTAGTCACAGTCCCTTTATAGCAGCTTATTTACTTTGTATCTGGTCAAGAAAGTTGGCTGGAAAAGGCTGATGAAAAGATTAAGAGCTAAAGAGAATCAGAAAAAGCCCAGATCCTATCGATTACAATAGAAGATGACTCTACCATTAAATTGTATGCTGCTGTAGATAAGAGGGTGTCCTGTGAAATCAAACTGCCTGTCTTATTAGAGCTCTGTCACTTGATATCAGTATTATATGGAGCATGGTCTTTCCCTTATGAACTCAAGTTTTTTTATCTATGAAGTGAGAAGGCTGTAAGTTGCATCTGAAGTGTTGATGTAAGGAACAAATTAAGTAATCCCTTTAAAGTACTTAAAACAATGTCGAACACATATTAAATACTCCACAAGGTTTATATGCTAAAGTCTGTTGCTTGGAAGATTAGAAGTGATATCACAGTCTCTTTTCCATGAATTCTTATGTAAGTATTGAGTCCTAATTATGAACCATGCACCATTTTTATATGATCGAGATATGTCTTTGACACAACACAAAAAAAGAACCCCTACCCTTTATGGAACTCATTTTAACCAAAAAGGCAGAGTAAATGAAGATATTTGAAAAGGGACTGAACATTATAAAGAATTAAATCCTACAGTTGAAGATAATATTTCTAACTACTAACTAGGAGAAACAAGGTGAAGAAAGGAGACAAGAAAAAAATCTGGAAAGGAAATAGCAATCTCGAATACATATGAGCTTCAGAGCTTCAGGCTTCTCAGCTGGCTGGAGACCCCAGGGAGGCAGCAGAAGGCCCACACAGAACTTACTTATATTTTGGAAAGAATCAGGAGGATAGCT